TTATGTAGTGAAGGAATCATATTTTTAAACAAAAAAAATATTATAACATATATATATATATATATATATATATATATATATATAGTCAATGCTGCCATATTTAAATGAGACAAGACTTATTTCAATATTACTACAAGAATTAAGAAAAGGAAGAGTTTCTTTAGTGAAAAACTTGGAAATCTGGGTCTTCTTCAGAGAAGAATTCAAAAAAGCAGGACTTTAAATAACGAAACGAATGATTCAGTTGGATCTTATTTGAGTAAATATTTTTTTCTGTTGTAAAATTTTCTCAAATAATACAGAATTTCCCTTAAAGATTTTCCAAATCTAAAAATATGACAAAAACGATTTTTGTGGATCCTTGGATAATCTCTTTCTCATTGTTGATACAAGGTTGTATTTAACTGGTTAAGCTTTACTTTCTTTTCATTTTTCTTAACTTCATTGTCTCTTCCTTTTCTCTTTCCTTTCTCACTTCTCTGTCTCTCTCTACTCTCTTTTCTGTCTTTCTTTCTCCAATTTCTCAATGTCTTTCTTCTCAAATTTTTACTCTCTTTCCCTTCTCTCTATTTTTGCTTAATCAGCCTTTTTTGTGACTTCTCCCTTCAGGATCTTGGCTCTTTCCTTCTCTATTTTTGTTTACTCTCATTTCCTTTCTTAATTTTACCTTTCTCTTCCTCTTCTACACTTTTCATCATCTCCATTTCATGTTTCTCTTTAACTTCTCCTCTTTCTCATCAATCAAGCTTCCTTAGGGCTGATAGAATGGTGATGTCTTACCAATCAGTCTTTCTCTTGGGGCCCATCAAGGCACCAGAAAGATGCCACCATCTTAATTCCTTGTCATATGAGCCTCCCTGAAGAAGAAGCCAAAGGAAATTGATGTTTGTGGACTTCCTTTATTTCTCTACAGACATTTGATGCCATTTCTTCCTTGATTCTCACTTTTATGGCTGCTTAATTTTGTCACCTTTCTTAATTTTATTGAGACTCAAAGTTGACATTTTTCAAGGTTTCTGTTTTTATGGATGGCCAGAATTATCATAATTTGGACTTCTTTGGGAAATTTCATTTGCATTTGAGAGTTACCTTTTTAATCCTTATAACCATCATGTTAAAAATGTGCATTGTCATCAGAAATGTAGGTATCTAATGAGAGCAGACAAAATTGACACTGGGAATCAGCAGAACCTCCCCAATGTTGATAAAATTCAGCAAAACCTATCAAATTTGGCAAGAGTGCAGAGGTTTGATGATGCCCAAGACCAACGCCTTGATTGTATGCCAGTAAGACTTAAGTAGGGGTGGTGGACCTACTCCAGTCTCACTTATCAAAACATGGATCCACATTCACACCAGCTTGTGGGACTGTAGGGTGCTTGTACAATGAAGTTAACAGACAATTTCAAATTTCAAAAACTAAATTTATATTTTACACTTTAATTGGATGCCCTACCAATATGGATGCCTGAAGCCATCACACCTTCTAGCTCCCACCCTTCTGCATGCAACTCCAAGAGTGATTGTCAATAAAGATCAAAATATAACTTCAGTCATTTCAGTGAAGAAATTTCAGTCATAAAAAACCTAGAGCAAGCAGCAGCTTTTTATTTTTTATTTATTTTTTTTTTTCTTAATTGATCACCCAATACATGGCCCAAGAGTCACTCAAGGTAGAGGGTTACAGAATAAGTATAAGAGAAGGAAGTAAAAAGTGCAGATTATGAGAATATGTAGATCTTTTGAACAGGAGTAGAGGTTTATCTCTTGTTTCCTGTTTTGTATTGGGTTTCTGGTTTCTTCTAAAATCTACTTCAACTCTACACTTCTGACATTTCTACCTAAACTCTGAAATTTTATTTACTATTTATTTATTTATTTATTTTTTTCCTCAATAGGAGTAGATAGGTTCACCTATCGTCCAGTTCACACCCTCTCTTGGTTCTCTTGAACAGGTGTAGAGGTTTATCCCTTGTTTCCTGTTTACGATTGGCTTTCCAGTTCCCTCTAAAGTCTACTTCAACTTTACACTTCTGACATCCCTACCTAAACTCTTAAATTTTATTTACTATTTGTTGTTATTTTTCCCTTCAATAGGGGTAGGTAGCTTTGCCAAGCGTCCAGTTCACACTCCTCCTTGGTCTTTTGAACAGAAGTACTGGTTTCTTGTTTAGGAGTTGGCTTCTGGTTCCTTCTAAAGTCTCCTAATTCTCTTTCACTCTCAAATACTTGTTGCATCTTAGTTGCTTTATCATTTTTCCTAGGGGTAAATGAATAAAATAAAAAAAAAGATATGATTTATTCTAGATTTGAAGAGGTTAAGATTGTAGCAATCAGGTAAGCATCCACTTGTGAGTTTGTTCCACAAACTCTCCAGATAGGCCAACATCAACAGACCAATACAGTGTCTTGATATGCAGTGATTGATGACAGATAAGTAACACAGTTGACTACAACAGTATGTATCAGCCAAATCTAGTTAGCTGAATACTACAGTTGCTAGTAGAAGTTGCAACTGGTATCACTAAGTCATACTTAGAATGTAAGTCTGAAAGCAAGTGGAAAACAGTCCGATTAGTAAATCCAATTCTACGTACATGGGGTACATAGAATTGGATTTACTAATCGGACTTGCAGTTTAAATCAAGAAGAAGGTAAGAAACTTGTGAATGATGTTCGTGTCTGCTTGAATTGAAGAAGAAAAAGAATTTTGGATGAATAACTACAAGTTTGCCATCTCTTTGACAAACCCAATTTTTCACTTCACCAACCTTGTAATATTATTACAATATGCCAAAGATTCCACTTGGAATATTGAATTTCAGTCATTGGTATACACTGAAATCCCTAACAAAGTATACAGTGACCTGTATAGGCAATCCATCAAACAAAGACACCTCCTTCCTCAAGGCGGTATCAATTTAACCTCTTCTCGTGTTCATCTAAAATAGGATTAACTCTTCTTCATATCTGCAAGTGTTAAACAGCTGTTCTAATTCCATATGACATTGATCTAGATACCCGCTTCTCCCACTCTCCATTGCCCCTGCCCTTTTCTGTGATGGGGGGCCCACAATATCAGAAGATCCCTTTTTAAACTGAGTGACCCTAATCAGTGACCCTAACTGTAAGTAATTCTATACTGTCTTTAATGTTAGTTTTTTTTATTTAATTTACTTTTTTGGTTGGTTTTTCTTCATCTTCTGCACACTTTAAAAACTGATTTTTTTGTAAAATATAAAGTAGTTGCATTATACTATGTATAGTAGCTGGCTATCCAATCCCTGTTGCAGACACCTTCTCAGGTACATTTGTGTTTATTCAACACCCTCATTTGTGGCGTATACTGCAACTATGCTGAGTGGACCTTTGCTACAGTTTTCTGGTTGAGAGTGCATAATCTGTCAAGATCAGAAGTTTGAACAGCACCAGTATGCTCAATCTTTGGTCATGTTGGCTTGTGATTTTATGCTAGCACAACCATTGATGGCTTACAAACAATTCCATCTGCCCAAATTCACTCATGGTGCAGTTTTCAGGTAATTTCCCTGGGATCACCTCCCCAGGATGACAGCATCAGGAAGTCACCTCCCTGACAAATTGACCCTGGTGAAATCCACACTTGGGTCTCATAGTCAAAAAGCGATGGTTGTAACCATTTGACCATATATCCATATTTATAAGTGTGTATATTTGTATGTATCAAACATTTTTCCCTCTTCACTTGAAGTGTATCCTTTTTGTCTGTTCTTTGAAACAGATGTAATGGTTCTCACAATATCACTTCTTGTCTTTTGGGACTAAGTCAATATAGTCTGAAGAATCTATTGAACAAGGAAGACTCAGAAAGTGTGCCAGGAGGAAGAGGGAATTTCATTAGCTTTTGACTTTCCATAAAGACATACTCAAATAATAGCAGCAGTAAGCTGTACCTTTTATCTAATGAATAATATATGAGCCACTACATATAGTCAAGGTTCTGAATATATTCTTATGGCTACCCACTGACTTTACCTCTACTCTATCATTCCCTTGCATTTGCTTTCACCACTAACAAAAATA